GAGGAGAGGAGAGGAGAGGAGAGGAGAGGAGAGGAGAGGAGAGGAGAGGAGAATTCAGTTGGAAGAGATCTTCATTTAGACCAACTTTCTGACCACTGAAGGGCTAACCGGTTAAAGCATGTTACTGAGGCCACTGTGCAAATGCCACTTGGAAAATGACAGGCAGGGAGCATCAACCACATCTCTAGGAAGCTTGTGCCAGTGCTTGACCACTCTCACAGGGAAGAAAATTTTCTGAATATCTAATCTGAACCTCCTCTAGTGAGGCTCTGTGCTGTTTCTGTATGTTCTGCTACATTAGTGACCAGGGAAAAAAGCCCTACGTATCGCTCTGTGCTTTCCCTGCTCAAAGAGCCACACAGACAAATGAGGTCATCTCTCATTCTTCTCTGGTCCAGACAGCCCAGGTATCCTCAGCCTCTCTTCACAGAACATAAATTCCAGCCCTTCAACCATCTTTGTTGCCTTCTGGATATTTTAAAGTATCCTAATAACAATTTCTTTTTCTTTTGCATAGAACTGCACAAGATATTCAAATTGAAGCAACACTACCAATAAATATAGTGGGAAAATCACATCTTCTGATCAGTTGACTGTGCTGTGATTAATGTACATCGAATGTGCATCAAGCTTTGCAATGCAGCCCTAATTTAAAGTTAATTCGGTATATTTGTAGGTATTCAGACCAAGATGTCAAATGATTTTATTGCCAAAAGTCTTTTGATTGATTTAGTGGGAATAAGATGCCTGAATAGATTCTGAATTCTCAGTTGATGCCATTAGCACCAGAAATTCAGTGTGATGAATCCCAATCAAGCCCGACTAAATAAATAAATAAATATATAAATAATTCTGATGTACCCATTATATACCTGCTAGTTACCTATCATATTCTCTCTAGAATGTCAAAGGAATGTTAAAGGAAAAAAAATGATTTATTAAACAATCCATGGACACCCACAGACCTATATTAACAATGATTTTTTAAAATTTAAATCTTCTCAGAATCTAACTAGAGTCAAGAAGAAAACAAAAGATGAGTGCTGTACAGGGAAAGCTCTGATTCTTAAAATTCTTCACTAGCGAAAAGCCTTTCCTTAGATATTTACCAGCCAAGAGCTACTGCACATTTTTGATTACTGCATCTCAGATCCTTTGTTTATCTGACATAGGAATATAGGTGAAGAAAATAGTAAAAACTGACCTCATATTTCTCCTTTTTTCTGAATATTTCAGAACAGAGTTTGTTTCTTTTTCTGATTCTTACATTAAACAGAGCTACAAATAACCTCAGTGAAATTGCATAGCATGAAAAATAACCATAACAAATTTATTCTAATAATATTGTTTATAAAGGTAATGACTGTGGTAAGCTGAAACACAAATGTGCAAAATAAATCTTGGCTCAAATCCTAGGACCTCAGAGATGTTGTCATGATTTTATGTTTTGGTTTTCAGTATTCCGCATCATAACATCATGTAGTGCACTGGGAGTTAAAGTGTTAATGCTCCAATTCCAAGTACCTGCACATTACAGAAGTCATGGGATCTGGCCCTTCCAGGTGGGGCGGTCTCTTACTGCCTGGCAGTGGGTGCTGGAGGGTGCTTTCCTAGCTGTTCCAAGCTTTTCAGGTTTGACTAGGTCTCAGGAACTCCCTCTCTCCTATCTTATTTGATTTATTAGTCTCAATTTCAATTAGATTGTATTATATTGTGTTATCTTGCATTCCAATATCATAGTTAGTAAAATAAGTTTTCCTCCATAGATTGTTGCCACAGTTTTTTTCCCTTCCTTCCTTTCCATTTTGTGGGGCCAAGGTGTGTGGGGGGAGGGGGGCAAGATCCTACTGCTCCCTGTCACAGGCATAGATTGATCTAGTTAACTCCTCTTTGTTACGAGGAACACCTTGTTTCTCATAATTGAAACGATAGGAGGAAACATATTCAAATTCTCCTTCACATTTATATTTTTGAAAAAAAGTGAAATTAGCTTTTCTATACTATACCTGTACAGATGAAACTTGATAGTCCTCCGTAGATGACATCATCATTGTCTGGTAATATAAAGGGACACCTTGTTTGAACCTCCAAACAGTATTGCTTGCAAGGAATTCTGTTGCTGCAGTGAAACTGTGTGACTTCAAAATACTGGGAACAGAGCCAGGCTTTGTAGACAGTCTGGAAAAAGAGAAGAATCAGAAGTATAGATGGATGACAATAGCACTTTCATTATTAGAACATACTGAACTGCACATCTACATTAACACTGCTTCTGAAAGCAAATTTTGCGACACTCATCTGCATAACACACACTTTTAACTTTTGACTATCTTCTCACTTCAAAAAAGAAAATTCCAGCCAAGTATTTAAAGAAACAGTCACTCAAGATTAGGCAAATGTTATTATTTTCTTAGTTCATAAATAGGTTTTTTCTTCTCTTAGATGCATATCTTTATTACGAACACGTCACACACCCCTGTCCCTGTACCTTATGAGATACAAACCATAATCAGAATATAATTTGTAGCTAGTGAGGGATGGAAAAGAAGCTTTTAAAGATAAGTAAGTGCAGTAGTTTCAAACTAAACTCAGGCCAGCCCTGTTCTTGATATTGTCTAGAGCTAAGTTTTCAGGTTGCAATAGATGGTGCTGCTTCCCTTTGAATAACACCCTAGCAAATCCACAGCATGGAAATACACATTAGGGATCCCGAACAGCAATAGCTGTAGACTAGGAAATGAATGTAGACCAATGCCTACATCTGGAGCAAAGAGGAACGCATTGATGTCACCTGACGGTGCGTAACCATGGTTGCAGGACCTCTGATTACTTCTGCTATTATTATCACAATTTAGAAGGAAAGCAAAATAAACATGTTGATTTTTTCCTTTTCAACAAAGATCTTAGACACAGGAATTAAATTAGTCTTTTGTACATTGGAAGGCATAACATGATCATTTAAAAGTACATTGGATAGCGGCCTATGAAGGTGGTGGAACCACCATGTACAAGAGGAGTTTGCTTCCCAGTTTTGTTCTTCACTTATCTATTCTGAAGTACTTAGTTTACTGGCTAGATAGTTGCTGTCTAGGCTGTTATAGAATGAAAATATCCTGTCTGCATTCATTTGTAATACCCCCAAAATAATTTAAAAATAATACAGAAAACTGGATATTTTCTATCTTTCTATGCTTATTCCCAATTAAAGAGACAAAAAAACAAACAAACAAAAACAAACAAAAAAACCAACAACAACAAAAAAAAACCCCACACAAAAAAAACCTGATACCTGAGTGGAGCAATCTAGCAGAGGGTTTGTTTGTTTTCTGCATGCTTGTTTCTCATCAGTTATACTTCTTACTAGTATAAGTATTGTACTTAATTTGAAAGCATACATCTCAGAATCACAAACTTTTGTTTGCAACAGTAACAGGTGTGGGTATGGTTAGTTGGTGATAAAATGGAGATTCTATCATTAACCTGTAGTTTACATTTATCTCTCTACAGTAATTTTTGCCTACTGCACTCTGTAGAGCAAGAGTTATTCATTACAAATTCAATTTTAGTTGCTAGCAGGATTTTTATCCACAATAAATGATTAATGAGGGGAATTAAATGATGTGTGTGGCTTTTGTTGTTAAATAAACTCACTTCTAAACAGTAAGTGGTATTCCCACTGTTGACTTTATCCCCCCTCACAATTTTAATGGTTCACTTGCTATGTTGATTGAATAAAATAAAAAAAATAAAGGTTTTTATTTTTATTTTTAATTGAGCAAAATATTTTTAATTGAGTACAATCTCTTGGTTGGAGACAGGAGCTCTGTCTCTGATAAGAGATAAATATTCACAGTTCCTTCCTGATCTCTGTGTAGCTAGATCTGTTTACTATGGATCTATATAAGAGAAATTTAAGAGTAGTAAGTTGGTTTGTGTATAATATTTAAAAACTGACATCAGTTTAAAGGGAGTGTTTTTAACAGGTCACCATACAAGGTAATCAGAAAACAAGCAAATGCACTTCTCTATTTAATCAGGATAGGAAATGTTTATTCAAAAAACAATAAATAATGGAGTAACAGTTTTCTATGAACATTTTAATGTATAAATTCTCAGATTGTATATATAATCTTCCTATTTGTATTCACAAGTCCTCAGCTTCAGCTCAAATGTGCACCTGAACTCTTGTCCCTATTTTTAAAGAATGCATGATGTATATAAGTTTCCAAGATCTGTTTCTCAGATAAGTGTCTCCCACTCTAATTTTTTCTAATTACAGTCCCTCTCAACCTTGTTGACAGTCTATGTCAAGATTTTTTAGTAAGCTGGTCCTCTTTCGCTCTCTTTATGGCTAAAAAGGCTACATTATTAGCTACTCTACTCTCACGCTCTGGCTTTTTCAAAATAAACTTCAAGTTTACAGAAGAGTTTAAATCTATGGAACACCCTAAGATCTCCAAGTAGGAAGTGAGGTTCCAGAGGATGTGTTGAAAATAGTCTTCAGCTGTTCCTACATGCCATTCAGTTTTTATCAGACCAATCCAGGCCTGTGACCTGTCATGAAAGAATAGTTGGAAGAAGCATGGTAGAACAGCACACACTGTTTTACAGAGAAACGGGAAAAAAACATCCATGTCTGCAGATGAACTGTGCTGGGCTAACTGGTATCTAAACAGGTGAGTCTTTGTATCAGCTCCATAGTTGACTGATGTAAGTAGATTCAGAGGAGTCTAAGATTGTTTTTTTCGGTCTTTTAATCAAAAGTAGTGAAAGGAGGTTCCCTTACTTAAATCGTAGAAGCCTGTCATTTGGAACTGAAATTTAATGAAATATACTTGAATTTTTCCAAATAGTAAAACAGATACTATACACTCTGATCAGGCACTATTTTTTCTTATGCCCCAGAAAGTATAGATTTTGATTGGCTAGGAATTGCACTTAATCTCCTACAAAATCCCAGTTGCGGATTTCCAGAGTCTTAAAACATGCTCTGTATAACTAGGGCTGAAACTGTAAATGAAAATACATATTGACTTGTATGTGGAATACAGTAGGTTCTTTAATAACAATGTTTTGGTATGTGGATGTTTTTCCTTTCTAAAAGGGCATAAATGACTAAATAAAAAAATTTATAATCACGATAATTCTCCTCTTAAAGTGTATTTCATATAAAACATTTTAAAGTATTAACTGCGTTTGTTGTAAACATTTTCCCAGGTCACTTTCAGCATGTTTCTATCTACAAAGAGTAAAAAAAGTGATATGCCATATGTAAAATTTTTCATGTCTTGTAAATGGTGCATTTTTTTTTTTATCCGACTGAAGCAAAAAAATAAAATAAAAAAAAAAAATTTAAAAAAAATTGTATATGACCATTTTGAGCGCAGTTTCATTTTCCTTCCCCTGTCTTTCTGTGCTTTCTGTAATTAAATATTACTTCTGCCTGGCCTTTTTTGCCCCTCTCATTGTTGGATTTCAAGATAGAATTTACTGTGTTGAAGTAATTCGTATATGTGTGAAAAATAAAGGCAGTACTCCCACACTTTCTTTTAAAGAATGGAAGAAAGGATATTTGTTATTAAAATATAAAATTCTCCTGCCTTTTGTTCCATGACAATAGTTCATGCTTGCAATCTAGCAACCTAGCAAGCAATACATCCTCAATTCAAACATTAACAGAATATTCTCTTTCTTTCTTACGTAAACTATGGCATGTTGAGACAGACAAATAATTTATCTATTGAATGTTTTTCATACTTAACTGGCATGTATGGGAAGTCTTCTAAATGACTTCAGTAAATTATGTGTGATTGAGAAAAGGTATAGATCTTGTTTGAGGACATTTGAACAATAAAACCTTTGTCTTCCTGAGCTGGCAAAATCAATGCCACCTACACTGAAGCATCAACAGGTGTGCATGTGTGGTCATATAGGAAAAAACTGGTCTGACTTATCGCGTCCAGGAAAACATGTCTTGTTACTAAGCTTCCAAAGCATTAAAAATAGATGAAAATGACTTGCTCTGAAAAGGGGAATTTAGTAAAATTAGGAGCCAGTGAAAAAGTCAAAAATGCACATTTTTATTCACTATTTTCCTTCATTTCCTATATGTTTTCTATTTCAGGATGTTATGCAATGGTTTTAATCCTACGTGATATTAAGATACTACATTCTTCTTTCACTGTGCTATATGCTCTTGTATTTGCTTTCTCAGAAGGTGGGGAGGAGAGAAGACCACGATCAAATAGCCAGAAGCAGAGAAAATATTACATATTTCACATTAAGTTTCCCAGAACAAAATCATTGTCCCTCCAAAAATGCACTTTCTAAACATTCAAGTCAATAAATTATATCTTGGACTACATTTGAGGGGGAAAGAAGGGCTGTAAAAACAATATCCAGTATGGGCACTTTATGATATTCTTGGTGAAAACAGGAGAAAATAATGCAAATAAAACCAAACTCTTAAGCAAGAACTGACCTAAACTGTCTTACAAAATTGGAAAAAGTATACAAATTATAGAGAAAAAATAAGAAATTTCAAGAAACAAGAGGAAATCTTTAGTGACAAAAAACCAAACCATCAGATGTCAAAACATCATTTTTATTAATACATATTTTGTGAATTCTAGAAATTTCACTAAAAACAAACAGAAAACTAATACACTCCTTAATTTTTGGATTTCTTAAATTGTATCATCTGCATTTTACAAACTTGTTTACGTTGCATGCGTACAGTACAGAATAGTATTTAAAATGGCTTGGGTTTCAGTTTTTTTTTATCAGATGAAGAAAGTCTATAAAAAATAGTTGCTAATAGAAGTCTGGCAAACTGTAAGGAGAATGGGAAAAAAATACACGTGTTCTTCTGTTTCTGTATTGTTTTGTTTTTAGCATGGAATGGAGCACAAAAGGGAAGTACTCAAACAAATCAGATTATGGAGATCAGGCTAACCTTGGTGTTTTTAAGGAATAAATAATAAAGTGATAAAAATATGTTTTTAATTAGCCAGACTAATTCACTAATTACATTCATTTTATTTCTACTGATCAAATTTCAAGCCAAAATCTGGAAGCAGGAAAAATGCCATGCACACATCACAAATATACAGTTTCGGCAAGTCAATGTGTAGAGGTGGAAGATGGTGGGAGGGAAAGAAGGTAGGAAGAAAGAAGTC